TTATTTATAGATTCTTTGTCCAACCTAAGGACCTCATTACTAATGTGATATTGGTTTTGATGGGCATTGTAAGTGAATTATCTACTGTTGTCCTCATATCTTCATCAGCATAATGCTGACTTTGCATTTGAGACATAAACATCAAACCGGAACTTCTTTTTGAGGCAGTGTGTGTGACGGTAATGCGTAAAGATGTATGACATGTTCCGAGAAACTCCTGTGAAGTCTGACCCAACTTTGACTTTTAAACTATTATTTCAATTACCAATTTTCAATTAATTATTGTTTCAGATGCAAGCAAATATAACACAATCATCAATTTAGCCTATAGAATTTTACTAGACTGTGTAATCACAACATAATAAACACCAAAGAAATCAGGAAATGATCTCTTTGTAGCAGTTTATGTAGGATGGATAAATATGTGATCAAAAAGAGAAACGCTTTACAGTGACTTGCACTAAAAATGTAAACTTGTCTATCAAGACCACCAATCAGTACCACCACAGCCCACTGGGGGGCTGCGGCCCTCAGGTTGAAAACCACTGATCCGGAGTTTGTACCTTACACTTATCTGATACTACCGCTAGTGTGGTGAGCGTTTGTGAGCTAAGAGAGGAGAGAGACCAGAGATGTGAGTCAGGACTGTCAGAGAAACACTGGTCCTGAATTAAATCTGCCCTGCACAGTTTAGTACTTTGCTTGCTTTAACACACCCATTACAAATAGTCAACAGTTGTAAATGAACTGTTGCTTTGTGAGGAAGTGAGCTTGTGGCTGCATAGACATCAATGTTAGTGTCAGTGCTTTCACTGCTTTAACACACCCATTACAAACAGTCAGGGGGTGTTAACCAGCTGAGTGGTCCGGTTTTCCAAGATCATCTTATTGTTAAGTTTCTCCAGGAGCATGTTTGGGAAACACTGCACTAACCCACAGTGGCTCTGTGCCCCTTAAAGAGAATATCATTGGCTGTCCAGCTCCTTCGACAGTCCTTTGAGCCTCTGTCTGAAAACATATATAAATATATAAATATGCACTACAGTATATGAGGCTGAAGTCAGCTTGTCATTCGTCAGCTTGTTGTTTGAATTTTCCTGTTCCACTTTAAAAGGTGCAGCAGCACCTCAGGCGCCAGAGTGTAAATGAACATATCCACTTGCAACTTCGCCTCGCGGCATCCCATGTATTTCAATGGACAGTTTTGCCGGTGCATGACGGTTTGCAGTGTGGTGAACAGAGCCGTTTTATGAGGAGCCTGGCCACTTCCTATTTCCCCCGTAATATCAAAAGACAGGACTGCAAAACAGCAAACGGCACCCGCGAGCGAGTCCTCAATGAATGGGGGTTAATGGAGCTCAACAAAACAAAAAGTTAAAATAGTTTCTAATCACTTGGCCAGAACTTTCCTTTAATTTTAGAAAGTAGAAGGATGTATTTCACTAAAAAAAACAAAAAAAAAACTTACCTGTATGTTCCCTTTTTTCTACAGCAAATGGGTTTTGGGCAGCAGGATTCTAACATTACTGCTACTGAGCGCTGATTGGTTGGCGAGCAGAGCAGCTTATTGGCTGTTCGCACTCACTGACGTCATGAGCATACATGAGGCGCCGATTTAAATGCCTATAACTCAAGTATAAAAGCTTAAGCATGTTTAAGCATTTATAAACTATGATTTTGACCCATTAATTTTGGACTTGCTCCGGAGCGCCCTCTAGTGTTTGGTAACCCCAGAAGACATTACAAAGTGGTAATTCTTCTCGCTACAAAATCTCCGCTGTTAAATGCTCAGTTTGAAGCGAGTGAATTGTGCACAACTCTAATTGGTGGCTCTAAGCTTCCATTACACATTAGCTGCATTAGCCTCGTAGCTTCAGTGCAAAACTAAAGCAGCAGACATTGAGGAAAAACTATTCCTTTGAGAAAAAACCCAGCTGCAGTGCTGTGGATCTCTAGGAGAAAACTGACACACGCGACTTTCCTCACTTTCTTTATTTTCTGTTTACACAGCCAGCTTGAAAATTTGAGTTTGAATGGCTTACGTATTTCACACAACAACAACAAAAAAACTGCTACGCTCGGTTTCCCATAAATAAGTTCCACATAAATAAAATTGCTGCGGCTGCGTCAGGGTAGAATATTACTCATGGCCATGAATCCCATCTTGTACAGTAAGCCTTTGTCACTTTAATTTATATCCCCCTAGCCTGGGGCTCTTCTGCTGACCCACGCTCTTTTGGGATGTTTATAAATGACCATTTTGCCAGGGGTGTCCATAGCGACCCCTCCAGTCCTGTTCTGTCCCGTCCCTCCTGCACAGTGTCAGACTGTGCATGGGACATATTTTAAGTGAGTTTCCACACAATGACTCCAGTGGTCATGGGGTTCCCCCCCATTTTCTCACGCCTCCCTGAGGAAGGGAAAGCAGCTCATTTTGGCCCTTTTAACAATTCCAAACCAAAGCTTTGACCCACAGTGAATCGGCAGCATTGAACTTTCCATCACTGTTTATAAGCTCAACTACAGCTGTATCGATTTGTCACTACCAAGACTGTCACAAAGAATCAAGGCCTAAGAACGGAGCTCAGTCCTCACCACTGAAAGTCTTCCAAAATAAATCTTGTTTAAACAGAAGAACTTTTTAAGGCCTCAGAGTGAGTAGCTACAGGGACCTCCACAAATATTGGCACCCCTAGTAATCATGAGCAAGATGGACTCTAAAAAAAGTCTTTATTACTTATCCTTTTGATCTTTCATTCAAAATATTAGCAAAAATTGAACCTTTTTTTAAGGTACCACAATTGTTGGCACCCCTAGAAATTCTTTAGAGTTTAAGTTCACCTGAGCAATTAGGATCACTTAAATGGTCAGCCCTGACTTTTTGTTCCACTGGGGAATATATGAGATGAAAACATAGGCGAGAAAGCCTCTGCTGTCAAGGACCAACAAACTCAAGCACCTACAGTTTGCCAGATGTTACCGGAACATTCAGTAGGACTGTGTTTTGTGGTCAGATGAGACCAAAACAGAGGTTTTTGGCAACAAACACCAGAGGTGAGTTTGGCGTAGACACAAAGAAAAGTACCTCATCCCCCCTGTGAATATTTTACATGAAAATCAAAAGGATTGACAACAAAGAATGTTTTTTAAAAGCCTGTTTTGCTAATGATTACTACGTGTGCCAAAATTTGTGGAGGGCGCTGTGTGTGGCAAACTAGTGTTTAAAAAACTGCCTTTATACCATAATAGCCCATGTAGGGCTGAGCAATATTACTATGTTTATCATTAATGTTGTAAATTACATCACATTATGCCACAATATGCTTTTCTCAGTGTATCATGGTTGTCATTAGTGCTTTAAGAACACTGACCAACTGTTTCATTACAATGAGAGCATAATCAGTCCTGTTTATGTATGTGAAACCTTGAATACAATCACTGTACTTAAAGTTATTGATGGTGCTTTTTAAATGTGGCACTACAGGTTTCTTTCTTGTCTGTCCATATGAAAAAGAAATATATTTACATATATTTTTCAAAGTATGTGTCAGTATGATCCTGAAATAAGTTTGAATATACATATGTGTGCATATTACTAAATTATTACATTTAATCTATGCATATGTGCATATATTTCAGTATACTGACATGTATGTCAATATATTGGCATATATTTAAAGGCTATAAATTGACACAAGGTCCTGTCTGAAGTCTGGCTTAAACCCTGCTCTCCCCCACATGAGGAACATGAATGTTAAACACTACTAATAAAATAATTTAAATAATAATAATATGGGCTACATTTCTAACCTGATCTTTACTTGATAGCTTCAATAAAGACACCACTGAACCCTGATTAATAATTGGATTCTTATGGAAGGAAGTAAAAACTCCCGTAATGTCTCTGATAACATGAAGTACTATTTCAATGCCATGTACATAGACTCCATGCACAATGTGGCACATACATTCTGGAAATATATGTGAATTTATGTTTTTTTGTTTGGCATTTTGATGCTAAGCCAATACATATATTGGCATATCTTGAACACATACAGGGTGATTCAAAAAGATTCATCCAATTTCAAAATGATTTATTTCACTTGTAAATCATTACAGAACAATGCAGCAAATTGTAAATGGTTTAAGGAGCATAAAGTTTATTACGCAGTTTTACAAGTGCTCAATATGAACCTCCTCCAGCTGTACAGACAACATCAACGCCATAGTCAAATTCATCCCATACTGGATTGAGCACGTCGGGTGTTACTGTACTCACGGCTCTTTCAATGCGATTTCAGAGATCATCCAGTGTTGTGGAACCAACGCCGAACGCTCTGAGCTGGTGGAGGTTCACTGCTGACAAAAATCACTTTGCACAGTTATGACGGATTCACTCTTATTGAACTGGAGAACGCCAAACGCTTTCTGCTCAGGGGTCGCCATCTCCTCACAGACTGAAGGGAGCCATTTTCTGGTGACAGTCAGAAACTCTATGACCCCCTCTTTCAATTGGTATGTGATTGGTTCCTAGGCACCTCACGGCTTAAAAAATACGGTGCTTTGAAATCGGGTGAACCTTTTTAAATCACCCTGTATTTTGGATGTGAAGAAATAAATATACACATATTTATGGGTGTTTCAAATGATCAAATTTTAAAAAACCTTAATATTGTGATATGTATAATGACGATGTGTTGATGTATTGTGATGCTGCGAGATCGGCCATCTCTAGACCCATATTAAATTTATTCAACTTGATGTACACATACAATATCTGACTCTGTCCGGTGGTGTAGAAGCAAACAAAAACAACTTTGTAATATTATATTATTTATTTATCTTTGTACAATGTAATTACAATACAAATATGTAGGTTTAAATACAAAATTCTGTAAATAAAGATTAAAAATAAACTCCACTGGTTTGTTATCACTAGCCTACAGTTTACAATCAAGTTTATGAGGTAATTTAGTTTTCTCATTTTTGACCTACAATTGTTTCTCTTTTTTTTTAACTTGGGGAAACATGGAGTGAAAGCCCAGGGCAATCAGCTGTATAAATTCATCCATTGCATCTTTATGCAGAAGATTTGGAGCATAGATCGTGGATAAGCTCATTTAGGAGAAAAATCGATCCCCTCCCACCACAGAGCCCACAGCTAGGCCGGATAACAAATGCGTTCTCTTTGGAAAGAGGAATTCCTAAGTAAACCCACAGTGCCGCCTACACAGGCTCGGTTAACCCTGTATTTAGCAGTTGGTGGTCAACAAAATGGACGGCGGCTTTGTAAATCTGTAACGCGCCAGCTGTGTGGTCTAAGTGAACCAGGTAGTAAATACACTGGAACTGTTCTGTATATATATTATAATTCATTGGAGTGTCCTTTAACACACAGTGTGCAGTCTGGCTTTGACCATCTAGCTTTTATCCTTTTCGCTGAGAAACTCCAGACCCTGCGGTCAGATCGTGTCCAAACGCTCAGCATGTCCTTACCCAACGCCTCAAGCTCCTACACTGAGAACCGGACCAGCTGAACAGAAGTAGCAGAGACTATGCAGCTTTATTGCAGAGTGAGAACCGTGTTGGTATAAAAACGCACCACGTTGCAAAAAAGTGTGACAAAATTGGAATGTTTCCCCAAAAGAGACGCCTCCGCCGCTGTCATGCTTGGGACACTGACTTGTCGATGGGGACGGATAAATGGCTAAGGTGGTGTCACTGTGGAAAAGTGAGTTTTATCACAAAAAAAGAACATACTCGGTTCTCAGAGCACGTACACATTTGCCTTTGATAGATGACAACTATCTGTTGTTCTATTTTACAGGTTGAGTAATGAGCGCAAAATAAACGAAACCCAGGAACGCTCGCTCTTCTTATTAAAACATAATTAAAGAGAGATTTTCAGCATGCGTGGATCGTATCAAATGACCCTCCTTGCAGGACGTCTGGTCCAAATCCTAATCCTTACTTTCAGTGGTTTCTGTAAACAGCTCATTGCTCTAACTTCCTGACATTCACAAAACTTCACAAATGTACTCCTCAGCATCGCTTAACATCTCATACCGCCCACACGCATCTTCCTTCCAGCTTCTTAAATTATTCTCTTTCTTCTCAACGTAATCCACTTTACTATTACGTTCTTCGTCTACCACCTTCAACTTCAAAGAAACTCTCCAAATCCGTTCGCAGCCAAAATAAAATCCCTAATGAACCTCAGTGAACTTCAATGTTAAGCCTACTGGCTGACTGTTTTGGGGGGATTCAATTTTGTTCCCTCAACTGGCTCTCATAGCCTGTAGTGTTCTGACTTGCAATCTCATCAACATCATCAATGACTCTGGAAGAAGACCTCACGTAGCTGCTTTATGTTGTTCGTTTTGCAATTGCTAATCAAGCGCACTTACAATGCCTGTCAAAAGTGTGAGGACATGTCTGCTTTTGAAATTTTAGTAATGATTGATTTTCGTTTTTTTTTATTATCATTTAGCAAGTGTCATCCTTAGCATGAAGAGTATGAATGGTTTTGACAGTTTTCTTTTCCAAAAGCACATACTGAAACGCTTTTGCCCCAAAGATGTCTTAGTGACAGGCATTGGGTATGTCATTATTACTAAGAAAGTAACTTTGTCAGTAATTTTTTCTTCAGTTTTGCAAAGATCTAAACAGTTTTCTATCTATTCTATAAGATATGCCATTATAAACCAAAAAAACACACACATGCTCATGCTTATTAACAAGATCCTAAAAGGCTGTGGTCCCCAAACTTTTGACAGGCAGTGTGTATATCGCCTAGATTCTCCTGAGCCCTGACGTCAATTTCACCTCCAGTCTATACCATGTTCTGCATGTAGTCGCAACTTGTACTAATGACCTCATCAGCATAATGAGAGTTGTACTGTGCCGACTGCTGATCACTTTGGTGTCCATGGGTTGTTGGCAGGCTGGCGATATGATGCTTCTGCGGTGACTCACAGGGGTTGAATAATAATTAACAGCCACAAAGAGGGCGACAAATAAGGGGAGAAAAATAAACATGCTATTTACACTCTCACACAGCATTTACTCGCAGCTCCATCAGCTCTGATCATGCAGCCTCTCATCTGGTGAATCATATCTTCTCCCTGTAGCCAAATTATAAGTGGTCTTGTGCCAATCATTTCATTAAAAAAATACATGGAAACCGACTTAGAATCATTTCACTTAAAATCAAGTACAAATCAGATTTAAAAAAAACCTGTTACAGTTACATGAAACATAATAAATAGATATTTTGGCAGTCCAATTATCAATCAGTAATCATTTGCGAAGGCTCTCGAAGGCTTTGACTGAAGGTCACGTGATTCACTTGGTAAACCAGCGCCGTTGCTAATGAAGACTAAAAATCAGAAGCCATCCCTGTCCTCTAAGTGCCTGAAATGATGTGACTGTAATTGTTTGTGTTCTGAGACATTCCTGTGTTCCCGGATCTAAGAGTCTGAAGTTAGTGGTCCGAACGACACAAAACACAAACCGGACAATCCCCTACGTAAAAGTAATGACCTGAAAGAGCAGGTGTCTACAGTAGAGATTCCCTATGAGAAAAAAGCAGGAGAAAAGCAAAAGCAACAGGATGTGGAGTAGTTTCAGTCTCGTGTCAGGAGTCTGTGAAGCCTGGCCCATACAGATGTGATTATAGCTCTATCTCGAAAGTCTTTTGTAAGTCATTGGAAAAAGGGTTGGATGCCTTGGGCTGCGATTTGGACTCAAGTGCTGCCCACTTCGCCTCAAATCGCTCTGCTTCCTGGGCATCAGCTGGGAGACTGGCCTGCTGCAGGCTCTCCACTGGCCAGCTGTTGATGCTGCCACTCCCAGTAGTACTGGTGCCGTTTGGTGTAACATTGGTAGTGGATGTAGACGTGGTGGTGGCGGAGGGGAGTGTGTTGTGAGGGAGCCCATTGACAGCTGGAGGGTTGGCGAACGTGGTGCCAGGAAAGCCCCCAGGCAGGTTGGGGAAAGTTGAGGTTCCCCCACCGAGCGTGCCAGCCTTGGGTCCCATGGGCCCCCCTCCAGTCGAGCCAGTGGCACTGCAGAAGACGTTAGCCACCATCTGCGAGGGCGTGATGCCCACCACTGGCACGCTGGCATTGGGGTAGGTCATGCTGTTAGCCATGGCAGGCATGTAGGCCTGCATGGGCACGTAGGCTGGCTGCAGTGGCGGCTGGCCATATATGCCCACAGGTGCAGGAGTGGTGTCAAAAGCCATGGGGAAGGGCTGCATGGAGGTGGGCAAGGAGCCAGGAGGAACCATGGGGATGGTGGGCACTGGTGGAGGCTGCTGGGTGGGTGGTGGTGGTAGGGTGGGGGGAGACTGCTGCTGAGCCTTCACGGCCTTGGCCACCTCCTCCAGCCAGCGCTCAGCCTCTGACGGCGTCCGCTTGTGACCACTTTGTGTAACTGGAGGTGGGGAGTGGACAGCAGGCTCCGTCTGGACCCAGGAGGTGGTAGCTGCAGGGGACAACAGAAGAGGTGCAAAATTAACATAAAGAATGAATCAACAATTTTACAACTGAACTTTGATTAAAAAATGCAACATTTAAAGTGTCCAGTCTTCGGGTCAATCTGATCAATGCCAGGTATCATCATCAGTATGGCTGTTAAGTACAGCTGAAAGGTTTAGCACAGAGGAGGGGCATTTGGCCACAGCCACTCGTGAATCTATTGCCTGTGGAGGCAATAATCATTCAACTAAGACAGGAGCTGAGACCCTTTAGGCTGTACAAGGAAATGAATGAGGACAAGTTGATATTAGCAGAGCTTTGTAACAGTTAACGATTCATCACTCTATGCAGGACAGAAAGGCACAGGAGGAGGAAAGAGAGAGTGCTAGCAGGAGCCCATCATAAACCCTTGAGCAGAAAAGCAATGGCCGCATGCTTGTTCCAAACAGAGATCAAGAGAGATCTTCAAGATATCTATTGCAACTAAGCAAGGGAGCAGAACCTGTGGAGCCATAGGGTCTTGGTAATGTCGTCAGCACCCACCTTTGAATTTAACAACAAGGAGTTCACCCTGAAGGTGATCAATTCGATTCTGAGGGCTGCTAAAGCAAGCTTAGATCCTGGGCCAAGAGAAATATCCTACAAGGTCTACACAAGCTGTCCCAGATTATTGCATAGTCTGTGAGGGAACCTCATGTTTATCTGAAGAGAATGGAAGATAGGCTAGCGGGAGAATTTGGCAAAGGGTAAGTGAATTCTGGAGGAGACCTCGAAGCAGTTCAGAAGCATCTCACTCCTTTTTCAGCATAAGCACCTCATAGTTAGTGGAAAACCCCCTAAAGGATTCCTACTTCAACATTACAGGGCAGAATAGGGGAATCCTGAGTGTATCAAAGTGCATTCAGCGCACAGGACCTGTCATCCAGTTTATCGGAGTGGTTTGCGAAGGCAGAGAAGGTCTCGCTAATGCCTATGGTTCTATATCCCTCAAGCTGGTAGAAACAGCATTGGACTGGCACCATCCAGGCAAGACCAGGAACTTAATTCTGTACCAGTGGTCAGTAGTTTCAGGCTGAGAGTTACCACTGAAACAACATCAGCATGGCATCAGCTGGAGAAGGGGATCATCACTGGATGTAAAATTTCAGTGATCTTAGCAATAAACATGCTGGTCAAGTCAGCAAAAGGCTCTCTGACTAAGTCTAATGTCCCTTGTCAGAGAATTCATGAATAATGAACACTTCATCAATGTCTGAATGCAGCAAAGTCCAGATCCATGGATGTAAATAGGCAGAAGGTGACACACAAGTTGAAGGTCTCAAAGTGCTCATCACCTGGGGTTGTATGTGCTTCAATCCAGCAAAGTTTAGATCCAAGGTTGTGAGGAGAGCTGATTAAACTCAATCACTGAGAAAGTTGTTAAACTTTTGATCATACCTGAACAAGGTAACATTCCAGATGATCAGCAGGGAGCTGGGGTCATGGCTGATGGCAGTGGGTAAATCAGGACATCCAGACAAGTACCACGCCAGAGTCTACCAGCATGCCATTCAAGTTCTGAGGCCCTTGCTGGTCTATGAGGTACCACTGACTACTGTGAGGATGTTCCAAAGAAAATCAATGATAATCTTTTTGCAGAGAGCAGGGCTTAATACAGAGTTTAAGGCAGGCACAGAGAATAAGCAAGGGAATATGTCAGCTGGTCCAGGACAAAGGGCCAACAATAGCATAGTGGGGATGTAATAGTAGGATCTGTGGGCACAATAGGAGCGTGGTGGAAGTGATTTCTGGATCAGAGCTCTGGAAAGCTGAGCTACTCTGCATCAAGTTCCTTGTCCAATCTGTGTAGAGTGTCCAAAACAGTCCAGCCTTTTCTTCTGCTAGCAAATGTTATCAGCAGTGGAATCATCCAGAGCAAACAGAGTCACCCAGCAAAGCAGACAATCACTTTTATCAAGGTAGGAGAAAAGCAAGCTGTAGCCAAAAGAGCCATATGGGCTCCTGGGTACTGCATGGGACTGGCAGCTTGGGAATGACCTGGGGATACAGTTTAAATTCCCAGAAACCATCTAAGTGACCACACTCAGGCCTCACATGGTGGGTGGTCCAGCTGAAGCTAATGATTCCCCGGAAGGACTGGATGGAGGAAGCATAAGAGAGGAAAAGGGACAAATATGAGGACTTTGTAGGCAAAAGAGGTGATCATACCGCAATGTTTTGCAGTTGCCAAGGAATATTTCATTTCCAAGTGAAGTAACTGAATAGTTTCTTAACCCTGCATACCACACACCATGGTTTTGCATCATATTTTCAAATGAAGGATGTTTTTTCTTCTTGGTATAATTTTTGTTCTTGTCTTCAATTGGTCTTTATCTGGGTTTACAGCCCCGGTGAAAAGTTTGTTAATCTAAGTTTCTTAATTTTTCACTTCTTCATTTACGCTTACCATCAACTGAAAGCAGCCAGCAGCTACCTACACACATGGATGAGACATAATATAGACCAATATGTTTAAAATTATGTCAAATTAGTTCATGAATAGTTCAATGGCAATAAAAAATACTGATAATAATAACAAAACAGTGGATTTCAGCAATTAGGCTATTAACTGTCATGGGCTGGAGGTTAGGGAACCAGCCTTGTGACTGGAAGGTCACCGGTTTGATCCACTAAGCTGACAGGACATGGCTGAAGTGCCCTTGAGCAAGGCACCTAACCCCCAACTGCTCCCTGGGTGCCGTGGATAGGTGTGCTTACTGCCCCCTAGTGTGTGTGTTCACTAGTGTGCATGTATGTGGGTGTTTCACTCCACGGATGGGTTAAATGCAGAGGTCTAATTCCTCTGTGTGCAAGGAAAGTTGGCCAATAGTTCTGAAAATAAAAAAAATAAAATAAATGAAAATAAAATAAATAACTGCCGCAGAATTATGGCCCATTAATAAATGATCCCACAACCCAGTGGTCGGAAACCCCCGGCCTAAGGCACATCACTGATACTTTAAAGAGGGAGTACAAGCAAGATGCGTGGAATAACATAACGACATCATCACACATAGTTTCACAGTGTGTGTGTCTCCAGCCTCACCTTGCAGAGGGGCAGGTGGAGGGGGAATTGCAGGAGGGACAGTGCATGCTGGTAAGCCGTTGCTGGCGACTTTGGCACAGAGGTCCTCCGAGGGTTTGGTGAATGAGCTGTTAATTTGGCTGCACAGTGCGTTGATGCTATCCGCCTCCCCTGCCACAGACAGGTCCATCTCGGGGACTGGGGGGAAGAATCAAATAGACAGTCAGTTATACATATCAAAAATCATGCAGCAAGACTATATAGAGCACTTAGAGCTAAAGCTTAATGAAACAATTTGTATGCAGTGGAGGCTGTGGCATCTAACTGGAATGCATGGCTGGCTGATTAAATTGATTGCTTTTATTGTCGATGTGGACTGTCCTGCATTAACAAACCATACACTACTATGAAGTGCAGATAAGCATGTAAGCAGTTTTTAACCTGACACAATAATAAATATGGTGGTTACACAAATAAAGTCTCATTTTAATCAGTACTAAACTTAATGCCATTCGAACGACTAACTAAGGAAATCCTAGATCTGTGCTAAAAACAGCAGATCATCTATAATTCCCAAATCAGTGCCCAGTCTGGCCTGATGGATTAAGGCAGTAAACAGAGAGGGCTGCATATCTGTGCTGTGAAGAATTCTCCTGGACAGGATCAGGGGGAGGTTTTCTCTGTGTAATGCACAGAACAGCAGGGAAACATAGTGATTCATGTCTTAGTAAGGCTTCCAACAGTGTCATCCTGACACAGCTGCAGGGCTTCTATAAAAATAAAAATGGCCAGGAATTGTAGCACTTTGTAAAAGGATACTATATGCGATGCTTGTTTTGCTGTGTAGTTTGCTGGAGAGGATTGATCCCATTTGGAATTTTGCATTTAGTTGACTCTGAACATTATGCTAAATAGTGGTTTCTAGGTTATAAATAGACAAACCTGTAGATGCAAAATAAAACTAACAAACTGACCCCATGCATTTCATGTCCTTGATGTGATATTAGCACTCACACCTTTCAAAAGGTGTTTAAGCTGCCTTTGTCTCAAATTGTATCGCAGTGTATCTTATTGTATCGTAATGTTGTATTAGTCTGTGGCTGGAACATCACATTGTGACACTGTAAAACACAGCTTTTAGAATATTGCACTTGGATTCAATATTCTTAGCTGAACAATGGAAAAATTAACATATGCCATAAAAGGCACACTTTCAGCCACTCCTTCGTGTTGAGACACCACTGTATTGCATCAAATCAAATAATGAATTTTTGTGAATCGTTACTCCACAGAGGGTTAAAAGATTTTGAATATTTTTTTTTAATTTTGAATAATGATTTTGAATAATACTACAGTTTAGAAGAAAAAATCACTACTTAGGTAAAATCTATCAATTGGGATTAACCCTATGAAAATGTATTCAAGACACATATAAAACCAGGTGAGCAGTAAGATGCATTTCATCCAAGTCACAGTTGACAAACAAAACCCTTCCCAACACACTGCATTATAATGCATGTTGTCCAACATTACAGCCATAATAATTAGTCTAAACATCTTTTAAACATTGACTGCTGAAGTTCATGTATTCCTTGGTGTTCAAGGAAACAAAAAACTGCGATTTTTCTAAAGCAGCGACAATTGTTTTAGTATAGAACAGGAAAACTGCTTCAATTGGTTGTTGTGTTATGAGCTGACTTGCATATTACATGACATGTGCTGTAATGGTGCTGTAATGTGAGTGAGATCCTTGATTTTAATCCAGTATGAATCTACAATGTCCGTAATTGTTACAAGTCTGCTAAGTAATAATTTTAGAGCAAATTACCTTCTATAATTCTGTAACACTCTGAGTTCCTTCAGTAATAGTAGTCCTGTTTAAACTGACCTCACAGTAATGTAATAACGAATCCTGAAAATGGACATCGGCACCTCTGTTTTTTGGCGACTGGGAGACAAAGCTGACTGCAAAAATGGAGCTTTTAATGGCTTATTTATGGCTTATTAGGAAGAGAAGGAAAATGAAATATCTGAAGGTACCTCTTACAGGGCAGTGTGATTTCTGTCCTGTTGGGTGCCATTTGTTAAGTTAAATGAACCCACTTTACTAGCCTAAAGATGTTCTACCTGGTATTAACTGTAAGTTTGTTTTTGCTGTTTGTTTGTTTGGATCCATTTAATTCTAATCTTAACGAGAACTTCCTATGTTGTATTGATCCGGGCTGTCAGGGGTAATTTGGGGAAATTAGACACAAATACTTTATCTCATACGAATCGGCCAGTCAAATCCCCTAGAAATTCGATTACCAGACCTCTTCTGGTAAAACAAATCCAGCTTGAATAGGGCTGAAGTGCACATGCATGTGGTTAAAAGCATGAAATGACCAGGTGTAAACAAGCTCATACCCAGACTTCTAAACAGCTGTTTCTTGTTAACTTCACAAAAAGGTGAGAAATATCATATTTTCAGTCCTTTGGCCTTTAGTGTATTCTGTGGGGGGAATTTAGTGGCTGACCTGGGTTCTTGGTCTGGAAGTCAGTTTTGCGCTGCAGGGTGGAGGGCAGGTCGTTGAGACGCAGCGAGAGCTGCCTTTTGAACGGTGAGTTCTTCTGGCTGAGGGTGGGGAAGCCGCGGAAGGACCCCTGCCGCACCAGCTGCTCAAGGGGGGCGTGGCGACGTGGGATGACATGAGGCCCACCTGCCTCTGCCCGCTCCACCTGCGTGGCTGCGCCCTCTGGTGGTGAAGCATTGCCTGGTGGCACTGCAGGGATGCCACATTGTTCTGCAGAGTGGAAGTCACATCAGACGTCAAACTTCAAAATAGTGTTAACAAGTGGAAATATTTTAGGCAAATTTTTTTCAAGAGTCAGATTTTTTATTCCCTATTTTGACACAGTAAATAAAAATATAGATTATATTTACAGATTTTTTAAAATAGTGCAGTTTATTTCTTATTTCTGGAGGGATATATTACAGCTTGAATATAGTTTTTTTATATAGAGACGCTACAGAGTCAGGGATAGCATGCAGAGATTGAGTTGCGATCTGTGCTGGCCCCAGATGTGCCGACCTTTCTTTTTTTCCTGAAGCTGCTTCATGAGATCCTCCCTGTCTCCCTGCTGCACGGCCGATGAGACGCGGAAGGAGCCTTCGCGGACGAACGATGTGCGGCTGGCATCAAAGGAGGCCGTGACCCCACATTCCTTCTCCCGCCGCTGCTTCCGCTCTAAGCAGGCAGCGAACGCACATCCCACTGCATGACTCAGACGCTCACCCTGCCATGGATAAAACCACATTAGCAACACAGCGACAGGTGACCACAGCAATGACAATTACATGGTTTCTTATTTTAGCCTATTGGAAACTGGAAAATTGATGCACCAAAAGCACAATCTTAGCTGAAACTGAAATTAAGGACACACTGAGAAGAAAACCAAAAACGGAACACATTTTTTTTTGCCTTTTTTGTATTCGACGTAAACAATATTTACTTATTTAGCTTTTGATTTATTCAACAGCAAAAGAACCAACTATTTTCACCACTATTTCAACCTACTTACTTCATAAAATGGAAACTTTTACTGTGAAAATGTTTTTTTTGGCTTTTTCTACTTTCATCCAGAAAATGAAAGTGCTATTTTTGGCCATTTTCAGCCATAATTTTATTGCATCTTGACTGGAAACTGCATGTCAGTGATGCCCAGCCCTGCTCCTAGAAATGCCCTGTCCTGCAGAGTTCCAATCCTAGTCTAACGCTCAAAACAGTTAATCAATGTAGCATCTGAATTCTAGGGTCAGATACAATATTTCAGATTTGGGCTGCCCATAATCTCTGCAGGGTGCACATATTCAAGAACTGGAATATGCTCACCCAGTGCTTAGGTCATGGGACCATGTTCTGGTGACAGCTAAATGTTAACAAAGCTAAGCTATGTTGCTAGGCCCAAGACTGAGATCCTACTGACAATCGAACTGCACTCCAAGGTCATAATGTGTTTGTCCCCACATCTCAAGTGCAGATAGCCTGCCCCAGGCACCTGTTCCAGTCGAGATAACCGCAGTATAATCCTTATCTTAATCCCACTTTGCTGGGAATGGAGGCTAAAGCCTGAACGGCAAGTTGCTCTTACCGAGTCCTTGACAGCCATGAAGCAGTGGCAGATCCAGCGGCGGGTGGTGCCATCCCGGCAGATATAGGAGAAAGCCTTGTCATAGTTACGGTCAGGTGCGCAGAAGGACACCTTCTCGATGGTCTGATCAACAATAAGGTCCTACAGTTGAAACAAAACAAGGATGGAACTCCAATGTTAATAGCAAAACAAAGAGACATAATATATACATATTCCTCCTGTAGACATGATACTAGGAACGAGCGTGATTATTGAAATGTACAAATACCTGAATTCATTTTATTGTGCATTTGTCAACTTCGTCAGGAACATTTTTACATCTCCAAATCACAACTGCCATTGTTCGCATTCCAGTGGTCACTGACAGGGTCATTTCTGAACATTTAGGGGGTCATTTACGAGACTGGACCTAAAGACCTCCCAAAGTATACAAATACTTTTTTGATTAGGAAAAAAAAACCTCTGGATTCACTGTGTTTTTTCTACAAGTAAAAAGTACATTCTTTTGGTCCCATGGTGTCACGGGGGGTCCTTAGTAATTGCTTATACTGCTTATAGCAAGAAACAGCCCTTGTTATTGGCAAATGTTGCATTTATTCCATGAACAGAATATATATCCTGTGACCTTTGCTTAAGCCCTATTCGAGCAGGATTACTTTTACCTGAGTAGATACTGTAATTACTGATGAGTTCCATGATTTTAATCCACTATAAATCTACCATGTCTGTACTTTTAACAAATTTGCTCCAGAGTGAATTACCTTCCTTAATTCATCAAACATGGGGCTCCTTCAGTAATAGTAGTCCTGTTCAAAATGAACTGATGGCAATGTAATAACAAAATCTGCTAATAGATATAATGTCCCACTTTTTTCACAAGCTGGAAAAATTCAGAAGATGACTTTACTTGTGAGACCTTGCTGACATAACTTTTTAGACCACATTTTTGCTGATGGGCTAATCAGAAGCAGAATAAAAATGAAATATCTGAAGGTACCCGGTGAAGGGCAGAGCAATTTCTGTCCTGTTCGGCGCCTTTTGTTAAGTAGAATGGCCCACTTTACTAGCCTAATGCTATTCTATCTGGCATTAACGGGGAGTTTGTGCCGATGCAAACGTCCAGGCTAAGACGTTTTGATCCGTGCTATCTGAGGTAATTTGAGGAAATTACACAGATACTTTATTCTGTATGAATTGGCCAGTCAAATTCCTTACAAATTATATTACTGGATCTCCTATGGTAAAACTAATCCAACTCAAATAGGGTTTTAGTGATGTATCCTTCCCAAGTTTACAAGCCGAAGGTACCTTTAAGCCCATTTTACACACACAGTAACCGTGCCACTTGACATGCCACACTGTACTGACCACAGGCAGCATGCGGCGCTGCATCATTAGCTTGCATATAAAGCACAAAATATGCTTTGTGTCTATATCTGACACTTGCGGCGCAACTTATGCTACCGGTTTCTTGCTAGAAACAGTACAGTATTCAGTATTTAATCTAGGTCCATAATTAAAACAGCAGAAAGCTATATTTTGAGTTGTAGCAGCAGCAACTGTCTTACTGGATGAAACAAATTTATACAGACATCTCTTTGCTTCATCAATGTGAGTCACGTGAGTCACTTTATCTATTTATTGTGAAATAGCTACAAATGCCTCTCATATTAAGTAAAATCACAACCTCTAAGTGGAGCTACAAGGATCTATTTCAAACAAAAGATGTACGGTGTACAGTTGTCATTGTTCTGTCATTGGTCAAATGGTGGTGTGTTCAATTTTACATCGCTAAAACACAAAGATAAATCAATACAGCAACCAAACAATTAGGTGTGGATCAACTCTTATGCCATCTGCATGCAATAAACTAATGTTAAACAGCTATTGCTTTGTTTTTTATTCATAACAATACAAAACATGGGACATTTCTATACTATTTTTTTTTAAATGTGTACGTTCAAATAGCAAAAATGAAAGACTAGACAAAGACAAGGTTATTTCTTCCTGGTACGTGTTGCAATCTGACTCCTCCAAAACACTTAACCTCAGTGTGTTGAGCCACTTTGTAACCAGATCCTCTTGAAGCAATAATGGATCACGTTTGCATGTTCGGAGCCACAATAGCTGCATAATACATGAGCTGGAGGGCATAAGTGATAGGTGAAGGGCCTCACACACAGTGATGCAGCCTTTTTCCATAAGAATAGAGAAGAGGAAGAGAATAAGGAAGGTGAGGGGCCCATTCACTGTGAGCCTCTTAATGGTCAGCAAGCTGAGCTCTGAAAGGCTGGTCACAGGCGACTGCGTTCCGGTGGAGGAAAAAAAGGCGGAAGAGAGGAAACGGTCGGGGGGCTGCTGACTCACGTCACATTTCTGAGAAGAGAGGGACCGGGGCTGGGCTTTTTAAATGTCAGGCTGGGACCCCAAACGCAGTTGCCTGCCTTCATTGTTCTGGAGCCATATGGACAGTGGCGAGGAAGATTAGGTCCCTGTGCTGACTCATAGGGAAGCTGAGGGATTACCAGAAGGGCAGTGAGAAAAGGAGGGAGGGGTTGGAGGTCTGGTTGTGTGGGGGGAGGGCTTACAGGAAACAAAAAAGAGATTGCTTTGTGCCTTCTTTTCACAAGCTGGAAAGAAACAGAGGATGACTGTACTTGTAATGCGGCTGACTTTACCTTTGCAGACTAAAACCTACTGTGTGTGTGTGTGTGTGTGTGTTTGTGTGTAGTCTGTTTTACCCTCCTTTGTGCAGGGAAGTCACAATTACTCGATTAAACTTGGTACTTTTTTGAATAAAATAATAAATTAAAATGTATATTCTCAAGATATTAGCAGTGATTAGTTGGCAGTTTTAATGATATTAATCCATATTTAAAATTCTCCTACTAGCTCTCAATAAAAAACAGCCTGACAGACAGCATTTACAAACAGTCTTAGGAGTTGGTTGCATTTTCTACTTCTCACAATCCAAGCAATCCCAATTACACATTTAGACTAACAAGTCCTTAAAACCTTACTCCACAACTTGGACGTCCTATTTTGGTGTTCTAGTGCTAATTTTCTTTTTTTTGTCTGTTTCCTTTGCTCAGTAACAGCTTTTCCTCAGAAACCTACTTTAGGCAGTTTAGATGAAAAAGACATCTGTAAGGCTAAGGTGTGTTTGGGTAGTTGCTTATCTGAATGTTAGTGTGAATGTTAGTTTGAAGAGGAACGTAATGTCAGTGAGAGCTGTGGTAACAGCTTTGATTGGGAGGACACAGCTGTAACTCGCTGGTTTTCAGACTGGAAGAATGGCAGTTAAAGTGTCAGTAGAGTGCATGGAAGTAAAGAGTGGCTGAATTAAGTACTGATTGATTTGATTGTATACAAATAAGTTAAAATATATGTTTCCTGCTTTTTTGCTGACACTGAAAAAATGTACTTAATTGTTTGTTGTTTTGGGAAATTAAATGAAAGGGTGGTCTCTGACTTTTACACAGTACTGCAATGCTTTATACACTACACACTTTAAAAAGATGGTTCTTTAAGGGTCCTTTAGTAAAGGCAATGGTTTGGTTTAGAACCATGAGTTCAATATAGAACCATTGTTCAAATAATTCTTTGCATGGTGAAATGGTTCAGATTGATAGAGAATGTGTTGTATTCAAAAAGGTACCATATAGAACCATATACAACACATTCTCCATCAATCTGAAGAACCATTTTTACCTTTTATCTCATGTATTTTTTGAATCATTAAAAGATCATGGATAGTTTGGTCTGCTGGTTTGTATAATTAGTCAAAATAATCAGTAGATCACTCAATTACTAAGATAATCAACAGTCACAGCCCTTTTGTGGGGACAAAATGTCTCCATTATAGCTGGAAAGCATGGCAGTTCAGACTCTGTAGGGATGCTGGTGCCAATGAATAAAAAAGACAATAAAAGCTTTTTATTTGAAAAACTACAAGTGAAAAGACTGTATGTGTGTGTCATATCCTTCTTAACCTTCCCGACCCACACACACCCACACCCTGCCCCCAAAACTCATAAAGAACCCTCACTGGCCATCACTGACAAACACAGTCTTTAAAGCCCTTGACCTCAAAAGCCATCTCATCAATGTGTAGCCTCACTAGTGGCCTTAGTGGCTGGACATGAAGTGGAATCAGTCATATGACTGGGCTTTTGGGGACCAGCCAGATCCTCCCGCTGGGCTTTTTCTGCAGTTTCTCTCTTCTCAACTCTCTCTCTCTTTTTCTCTCTCTCTCTCATTCAGAGGCTTTCCTGTAACTTAAGGCTAACTGCTGGCTTGGGACTGTCAGTAAGCAGCATTCAAGTGACAGCTTCTCCAAATCTCTCCACATTTCTCCTGTGGATTTCCCAGCTTTGCATACGTTAGTGACTTTCAATAGGTGCAGGCGTAATGCCAAGCTTACCTTGGTTTTATCGTCCACCACTCTCAGGCCATCAGCAGAGACCCACAGCACAGCCTTGACCGTCTTCTTTCCACTCTGCAATAAAAAACGGATTTACAGCACTAGACTTGGGCACACATTCTACATTTTTCATATATTTTCGGGTTTTTTTTCAGAAACGCACTTATGTTTGTGCACATTTAGGCACCACAAACAGCCTTAATTCATTTTTACATGACTGTTTTCCAACCTTAAAATCTGTGCAGTTCCCACCTCTACTTAGACTTAAACAGGCTGTTTTTGTTCCTGTGCCTTTAGGACTGATACATGTAAATGACCTCAGTTCTGAATGGCTGCCCTGTATTGTGCCTCATTCAGAAAGCAGTTCAGGTTGAAAAGTACTGAAACACCTGTTAAATTCAGACTTCAGAAATGTCAAAAAAACCTTCTCCACTCCTTTTGTCTGTATCTAATACTGCATTTGCTTCCCAACAGTCAGGAACAGCACAATGTTTAATCAGTTTCCTCCTACTTCGTCTTCGCAACAACACTCCTGATCACTTCAGTGTGAACAGGCGGGCTACAATGCTGCATATTTAATGGGTGGCCAAATATAAATATGTTTATGGCTGTGACATCACTATGATGAATTCAAAATAGCCACATTTAAACTGCATTGACTGTAGAAAGAATAATTTGAAATGCTAGAAAAAACAAAGATATTTGAGTTTTTGGGTTTTTTCCAGTGCAAGCTGTTTTGTCCAACAGTTTTTGGCCTGCTGAGTCCCATGAGCACAGACTGCTCCATTCTCTCTTTAGCTTACTGGTGAGGCAGAACACAGGTGCTGAGCCATGCTAAAGTGCTGAGAACACTGAAAAAAAGGAAGAAGGAAAAAATCCCACTAAGGCCAGTGTGGGGCAGCAATAGCTCTGCCTGGAAGCAGGAGAGTGAGTGAGTATGTGCGAAAGAGAGAGAGAGCAAGACAGAGAAATGGAATGTAAATAAGGAGGAGCAATCCTGGAGGACACAGATAGAGTAGAAGGACCTGAAGGAATTCCATCAACTTTTAAAATGAGGCCCAGAAGCCATGCTCCAAATCTGCTAAGACAGCAGCGCGCAGAAAGGCAATTACAATGCGGAAGATAGTGAAGCCTACAGAGAACGGGAGCGAAGTCGAGGGGCTCGGGGAGAGAAAGGAAGGAACAGGGCAAGCTGAGAGGGGGAGGGAACGACTGGAAACAGCTGGAGAGCTCTGCTAGGAGACAGAAGACAAGAGGATTGGGGGATGGAAGGGACCACACACTCAGTCCGGCACTCAGGGCCGTCCTGCCCATCTCAGGACAATAAATAAAAAAGCAACAGCCTCAGACTGAAACCTCCTTTAAAAGCAGAGATCCGCACACAAATAATGTATTTAATATGGCATATATTACATAATTATCCCTGTCTGAAAACAAGAACATGTCTCTGAGGCTCCATCAGCCCAAGCTTCTGAGAGGTTTTGGCAGAAATGATACAGGATGATGGGATGAAATACAGTAGCTACAATATTCACCTAAACACAAACTGCTTTGTTATTTAACCTTGTTAAACCTGGTTCGTGACCAGGGCTTTATTTCAATACAACCACGTATTAGTTTTACAAAGAGGTCAGATTCATTTCAGATCCAAATTATGATAATTCTTATGGAAGGAAGACAGAGACGCGGTTCACAATGAACTTCTAGGACCATAACAGCTATTTAAACACTCATTTTTAAAGGCTTAACATACATGCAACACATAAAAAATCAGGTATATAATAAAGAACCATACATAGCTACACAGATGTGATGTATGACAGCTAGAAAAAATAAAAGAAGATTACGAAAAGCTGCAAATATGTAAATTACACCTCACATGATACGGTGTATCAAAAATTCGATTCGATTCCAAATTAGCAGCTCATATTTTTGCTAATCTAGTGGAGTAACTGAATGTGTTGCGTGCAACTTTGTTGCAAAAAACTAGTTGCATGAAAGTTTCAGTATATAACACCAGCCTTAGGGTAGTTTGGACCTGCCTGGCCATTCTATCAGCGCTTCTAGATCAGTATGCAATCCATACCAGTCCCAGTTCCAGGAGCTCACACTCATTTCTAGTTTAAGTGGCACACATTTTCAGTCTGTAATTTACAAAAAGGTGCTGAATAACCCATGCCTTAGGGAATCAGAGGTATTGGTACTGGTAGCAGTATCGAAAACCTACCCAGCTCTACTCACAACATGTTGCCTTTAAATGTTTGAGATATCAGCACACTTCAAAACCCATGTTAAACTAGGGAAGCACAGCTTTCTGATAAAGCTTTATGATGTGCTCACTTCCCTGTGAAATCCCAAATCCAATCTGCACGGTTACACATTTAGACTTAGGACTCAAAGCTTAAAGGGTTAATAGAGAAGCCAGGCCGACGTATTCACTGAGCTGATGAGAGCCGACGAAAGCACACAATGTGCTCTGATTCTGACCGCGGAGCTGCCACCCCGCTGTGATCTCTCTTATCTGACAGGCCCCCTTGTAGCTCAGGGACCAAAAGCATGCCTGATCGCCCCTGGGAGCGAATGGAAGACCGCTTGGCCATAAGACCTTTGACTTGAACGTTTGACCAAAGGCCGGTTGATTGACCAGACTTTCAGCTGGGCGCTGCTTTTTACTGCAGTACTGCTTCACCCTCATCTTTTCAAGCCTTCTCCTTTGCTACATTTTCCCATTAAAAACGCAGCTCTGGTTCCAGCAATGTAAAGACCAGCTAAAAAAGGATGGATGACCTTGAGGGCCTACTGTATTCATAGCACCTTATTCAGCTTATTCAGTTTATTTATAATAGATCAGGTTGAACATTCTGGGTTTTGAGTCATAAAGTGTGGCCATGACTAAGCTTCAGAAACGGAGAGATATTGGTCTAATGGAACAGAAAGGGACAAGACGGAGATGCTCACCACTTTCAGTTTCTTCACTGCCTCCTCACACACATGCATCCCTCTGGACTCCTCCACCTCCACCAAGCCCAGATACTGCAAAACAAGAAAGAGAGAGAGACATACTCAGATCACTGAGGCACTCGATTACTCAAGAAGAACCTTTGACTAAAACGTACCTTCTCAATACATCAGAAGGGACAGTTTGCTTGATGATAAGGCATATTTTTAAAATCTCCTACTGCTCTCTAGTCTAGGTGACATTATCAAATATTGTGACAATTTAAATAAGTGCTGATGTTATGTGAATCATTTCACTTTATTTTTGTTTCTTTGCCTTTATTTAATCAATCCTTCTGTAGAATTATTCTGCTCTATGATTAGTTCAAAAGTGTATACAATAAAAAAAGACTGCACTTAAATATATGCTAGACAAACAGAATATACTCAACTAATGAATTACACACATAACTACTTTGAACACCACTTGCAAATATTAAATTGTAGATTTTCAGTAAGATTTTACTGAATGGCAGCATTCAGAAAGCAACATGACATCAACATAAGCCTTTCACGACAACTGGCATAAACCAACATAAACTGTTATAAAGGCTTATTCCAAAAAGCATCAGTTGTCATGAACACTGCTTGTCTCCATTTTGATGTCATTTCACCTCAGCAAGTGTTATGAAAATAACAATTGTTGGGACAAACTTTAAAAAATGTCAGCAGCACTTTACTGTAGGGTACTGGTCATAAGGCTTTATGACACCTATATAAGCTTATTATGACAGCATGCCATGACATATATATAGGCATAATTTGCTTGAAAGGTTATATATGCCAGTTTTGATCAAAGTTAGCTAAAGTGGCCTTTATGACAGATGAAGCCTATTGGAATAAGCATTTATAAACATTTATGTTGGATTATGTCAGTTGTCATGACAAGCTTATGTAGGGGTCATGTAGCCTTATGAATAGTGCCCTACAGTAAAGTGTTACCAAAATGTCTATATAGCTGTAACTCTGTTGTCAGTCAAATGTTGTGTAGGTTTATGAAACCTACCGGTTTGGCATGAATGCTGGGGTACATGCAAATGAAACAAACTCTGGTATGTGAGAGCTACTCTCCAGTACAGAGTAAAATGGGCAAGCTTGTCTAGAAGAAGGGTGCCAATCACTTTGTTTTCCAACCAAACAAATGCAGAGAACTACTGAATGTCAACAGCTTTACATGACATCTGTGCAAAATATAGTTACCGTTATAAATTGTTAAGTAATATTAGAAGCTACTCCAGTTGGTGATTATACGGCTATCATATTAGCATCAGGCAAAATGCAAGCTATAGGGTGAGACTCATCACGTGGTTCATAACTAAATTTGGATTGCAATAATTCTGCATGCAGTACTCATTTGTCCAAATGTAGATTATCGTCCAAGCTTAGAGCACACTTATTTATGTACTGTTACCACACTGTTTGTTTGTACACTCTTAAAAATAAAGCTACCAGAAAGAGTTATTTGCCTAATACCACAGAAGAACCACTTTCAGTTCCCTAAATGACTTTTTTAATGGTTGGTTCTTTAGAGAACTGCTTTTGTAAATGAGATATGTGAGTGTGAAGAATCTTTTGAAAGTTTGAAGAACTTCCACATGACATAAAGATTCTAGTAAAAACCCTTCAATTGAGAAAAAGCCTTTACATCATGTGAAGGTTCTTTAAACCCTTAGGTGGTTCTTCATGGTCACACGTCTCATTTGCAAAATGGTTCCTCAGGAAAGGTGTTTCCTAAAGAGCCATTTTGGTAGGTTTGGTTGGTGTTTCTATATCGCATTGCCCAAAGAACCACCTGTGGTTGGTTCATCCATTTTTTAAGATTGTATAAAACTGCCATTCTTAGGTACCTAAGCAGCCATAGAATTTGCTGAAAAGTGTTTTTTGTTATTAAGAATTCTATATAACAATCATGTCTCTACATAAAATAAATACAAATGAACAGAAATATGATAAAAAGTTACAAGAATTAATTCAGATGTTGTGAACTTGTTAGAAGAACGGTGTTTGATTCCAGGTTTCTCCTGGACGCCCTACTTCTTTGTATTGTTATTATTATTATTCGGATTTATTCTAACTTTAATGTTTATCTGAGCAAATAAACACTTTAATATCCTAATTTTCTCAGGTGCCTAAAACTTTTGCACAGTACTGTACGTTTTAATGAAATATGTTTAAAGGCTTATATGGCTTATATTTTTTTAAATATAAATATATCTATTTCCAATAAAGTATATGGGAATCATTGAAAGGCTATGCACTGCTCCTGCCTGACTTCATTTTTATTATTTGCCCTTTAATAAATATCCAATTGCTTAATTAATCATCAGCATATTGGTAGACCGCAAATATAATACACACACACACACACACACACACACACACACACATTTTCTAAACTGCTTATCCTTCTGGGTCGCGGGGGGGGAGCTGAAGCCCATCCCAGCGGTCACTGGGTAGAAGGCAGGATACACCCTGGATAGGTTGCCAGTCCATCGCAGGGCATGCTAATATAATAATATAAACTAATTGATAGTTACTGTTCTACATTCAGCACCAACCACTAGTGTGTTCTGTTTTTCATCACCTGCTAAATTTTACGCCTAAGAGAAACACCAGACACCCTCCAGAATTTCTGGCACCCTTCATGAGGTGATCAAAAAAGTCTATAAAAATATACTCTTCTTTGAACAGTATTACCTCAGTGAATCCTTCAGTTTCTCTCATATTTTCCGTATAAGATGAAGCTGATAAACAAGAAAGCCTTTTTGGCTCATATGTACTAAGAGTGCCAGTAATTGTGGAAGGCACTGCATATCCAAGTGCTCTGTAAAGGCTCAGCGTCGTAACTGCAGTGACTGAACATAACCATAAAAAGTACAAATGACATCGTAATCATGTTCCACAGTCTATGAATCAATATAGCGCGTCCCGTACAAGCTAATAGAGAAAGACAACGCCTTTACCACGCTGCGATTCATTTCCAGCGGGTCTGGCGTGTGTTATTTGATTATGTGAGCGGTGAGGAGAGGGACTGTTAGAGGATTACAGCTCCCTCTCCCTGAGACTATGGGAGCCTCGGGCTGTCCGCGAAAACGAGGTTGAATTTAATTACGTGAACTCTTCTGCAATGAGACTTTCACATCACTTCATGATTCAGAAGCTCAGCTTCGCTTTTAGAAATGCAGATTTTTTTCCCTCCCTTTGTTTCAAATACTCTTAATGACTCAGTATATGTCCAAAACAATTTGTGCTTCTGCTACTCACCCTTAAAAATAGGCCTGAAAATCTCAGATCACAAAATGATCTGATGCGATTATGATTCTTTAGAAAGTGATTCAATGTATCATGAAATCTTGGTGGCGTAGGTTTCATTCCAACTCGTATGATTCGTGTTTTATGGGCCGACAACCTAAATTTTCCTTGTATTTTAAGTTCCACTTATAATACTTCTAACCGTTTTCAAACCTCTCTTTAACCTCCTTACAATTATACAGGCTGTTTCTGTTTCTATGCTTTTAAGACTGAGCTCTGTGCTGACTGGCTGCTCTATACTGTGCCTTATTCAAAAAGCACTCATACTAGTGAAACACTGCTTATAACTTCAGTGTCAAAAGGTGGGGTTAAACTGCTGTAGGCTAAAATAGATGGATATATGTAAATGAGTTGGTTCTTGTAAAATCACAGAAAGACTGAATTCAGAATGGGCTGTTTCTGGTTCAGTATCTAGAACACACAGGGACTGTAAAGGAATGCATTATCCAATGGGGTATGAGGGAAAAGGACTAAAATCAAACTACACCATGCTTTTGTTATTGTTGACGATAACTGTGACTTCTAAGTGTTAAAGGGTGTAAATATGACTACTTTGCCCTGCGGTGTTGTGTACGCGTCTGCCGAAAGCTGGACGTGTGGAGATCCTGGCTCTTGTCCAACCATGTTATTGACTTTCAAAGCTTTTACCAGCCAGTCTGCATCTGGCCTATTTCAGGTTGCTACCCCATTTGGCCTCGTAGACACGTCCATTAAACATGTGCTCTTGCGCCCTTACTCCTCCACAACTGTAGTCTGTCCATTAACGCAAACACCACTTCTGTCCAAAGAGCTGTAAAAGACTTTTTACCGGGAAGTGACCACAGCACAGTCACTTTCTGTCCTCTGATGAACCCTGTCTGGGAAACGAGGGCAATTTCATGCCCCATTCAAGCCAACACAGGTATCTGAGTCTGTGCTCACATTACAGGCTTTAGTGCTCATCTCCAATTTGTTTCTCAGATCTGATTTTCTGCTTTGTTGGTTCACATTTGTGTGTGTAAACAACCAAAAGCTGCCCTGAGAGGAACCTGCACAGCAGAAAAATCAATTCAGTTTAATATCACAACATTTAGGGTTCTGAAAATAGTGTCGATGCATGGAGTCTGGACGTTTGAGGCGAGCAATATGACAATATTTTAGCATTGTTATGATACATTGTCACAATATGCTTTTCTGCATTATGCATATCATGGATATGGTCAGAACCTGAAAGAACAGTGACTAACCACGTGTTTCATTACAAAATAATCAAACTTATTTCGAATATTATCATTGTAGTTTAATTATTATTATAGTATTTTGTATTATATTATTTGTAATAGTATTTTTAAATGTAGCACCACTAGTTCTGTTTTGTTTGTTCCAACTTACCGAATCTTAGAAAAACAAAATATCGTGATGCACATGTTGTGTATTGTGAAAAGTATCATGATATGATATTTTTGCCATATAGTGGCCGGTAAATGTACGTCATATTGCAACACTTAGCATATTATAAATTTCGCTACAAAATCACAGCACTGCTACATTATTATGGTAATATTGTACAGTGTATTCCCAAACCTACCGCATTAGCCACTACTGAGACTGGACAATGACCACATGCATACATGTATGAGCAGTAAAGTGTGAAAAAAATCACAACAGTCTGACCATTTGTATTATGCTCACATCACCACATATGAAAGCGTACATTTGCATCACAGATTGTGGCACTAATCCAAATTTATTTCTCTAAATGTGACACAGATCTGAATTTTTCGGAGCTGTGTGAACACAACAATATGTTCAAATCAGATTTCAGCCACTTTTATATGCAGTCCTAGATCAGACACATATTTGACTACAAAGCTGTGAACAGACTGGAGTTCATGTGATCACCGCTGTGATCATCCAGTAGGGCCAGCCTGTCAGCAGCAGCTAATGATTCTGGCTAATGATGATAAACTGTGTGCAGGCGAGGTCTCAGCAAATTGAATTTACTTATAAGGCTTAAAATACAAACATGTAAAAAAAGGCTACATTCAGAATGCAGGTAAAAATGGCTCAAATCTGATTTATTGCCCATGTGATTTTGCTGTTTGGTCATTTACAATATCTTTTCAGTGTGGCTGATATCTGACGTCTGCCTGAACAGATCAAACTCAAGTGCCACCACGAGCGTCTTGATCTGTCTAAAGCTCCTTTGATTCTTTTGTTTCTGTCATTTAAAAAAAATGAAATCATTGAAGAAAATATGATTTTAAATATCTGTTAGTTTGATTCTTCTTGTTAGAATGCAATGTGCTCATCTGTTTACACTGCATGCTTGTATCTCGCCTCTGAAAACGAAAGATGTGAACTGTAACCATAGTAACAGGCATTGCAAAAATTCTGATCAGACTACTTAGACAGAGCTCACACTGCTGCGTATCGGCTAAGTATCGGATTTCAGCAGCACATATGAAAGTGGCCCAAGTACACAAAAACAAATTTGTGTCAGATTTGAAGACAAAAATCAGATTTGGGCCACTTTTACCTGCAGTGTGAGCAGAACCAAAGTGGCTGAAATCAGATCTGAAAAGATCAGACTGTTGTGTTCACACAGCTCTGAAAAAATCAGACCTGTCACATTTAGTCAAGAAATTAGATTCATGCCATTTCAACCCTGTGATGTGAACAAGGTGGGGTGCAGGTTCAGCCTCCTACCCGGACGGCGAAGTTGCATTTGCCCTTGCGCACAGCCTCCTCGTCAGCCTGCCACTGATGCGGCCTGCTGGCCTCAGGCACATAGGTGGGCTTCTTCCTGCGCAGACTCTGACGCAGCTTGTTCATCTCCACACTCTCGGGCTCCCTGTTGCTGTAGACAGAAAGAGAAGAAGAGAAAAGTTAGCAGGAGCAAAAACACAGGCCCACTTCACCTTCATCTTAATGGTTTTATCAAACAGGAAGGCTATGAGAGTGAAATTGGCTGCACGTCGTAACTCTGAATTATGAGAAAAGAGTCATGAGAAAAATGCTGAGTGATGACATGCTGTTACAGCCAAAAGCTCCATCATAAATCTTCCTCTTGGACTCTCATGCTAGGCTAGTTAACACAGCAAGTTACATCTGTAGTGTCTCACATGTCTGGAACTACAGTACTGGTCAAAATACCGGACACACCTACTCACAGAAGGGGTTTCCTTATCATTTTGACTCAGGGCTCCAGAATAACTTTTTTCAGAACTGTCCTAAAAACGGAAAACTTGACCATTCAAAATATTAAACCGCTTTGTTTATGTTACATTTCTATCTTAATTTTTTTAATGGAATTTTTAAAGCATCTTAACAGTAATGTTTTAAAACAAGATCATATTTTGTGTCCAGATTGCAGAGGGACTGCAACAAAGTAACTTGAATAAAAATGTGAACAGACACAATTGTTAGCTTCGTGCTAACATTACGTAGGAATTCCCATTGATTGGCTAAAGGATTAGAAATGAGATGGAAAAATGGAACGTATAAAGCGAATTGGAAACAGTGTTTCCAATTAAGAATTGCTATATTTAACATGGATCTGAACAGCTGGCATGTTCATGACTTTATGACTCTATTTTACAGATATTAAGTGTTAAGTATGCACACAAGTTAATCATCCCTGAAGCGTCCCGAAAACATCATCCTATTAATAATGTCCCTGGGGCGACAGGACGAAATTAGTCTAGATCTCTGTTTTACATTTTGGATAACTGTGAAAACATATATAGTATATAAATATAGTATAAAGTACAAAACAGAACACAAGAATTATGCAACAACCAAGAAATACTGTCATTCTCTCCAGCAGCTTCATGAGGAGCCACCTGAGATGCTTTTCCAACAGGACCGAAGACTGTAACCCAGTTTAACATACTCTGAGAACATGATGGCTGCTGAAAACCACTTTTTAGGAACCAATATCACTAGTTATATTTGTCTTCAATCACTCAAGCATAAGCACTCAGATCGAAATCTTTAAGGTAATAAAAAAGCATATTTTCAATCAGGTGTGTCTCCACTTTTGCTGATACAGTGAGGTGTATCTCTATCATGCTGGTTCACTTCCTGAAGAAAACGCTTGCATCTTTCTTCCAGTGCATCTCACTGTAACATCATCTTTGCTCCTTTGCAGAATAATGCACATCGTAAGGATCTAAGTACCCCTCCTTCGTTTATGGACGAGGACTAAAGGGATCACAAGGTTCATTTTTCAAAGGCAGAAAGCACCTCGTTCTCAGTGCCTTCCAACACGAGGAGCTACATATCAAACCTTCTATTTATGCCCCATAATTAGGCCATTCATTCTTTGCCCTCATTTGCATTGGTAATTTTCAACTGCTGCATAATAAAACGTTACCAACCAAAAACAGCCTCTTCTGAAGAATGCTAATTACAGTTAACAAAGGAGGCCAGTTTCTCCAAAAAAGCCACACAAGCCATCGTGAGGAAGAATTCCACTGATTGGAGTTTGGAAACAAACGCCATTCAGCCGCGACCTCGCAAACAAGGAGCTTCAATGTAAACTTGAATGAGAACGAACAATAAAATATTGCTGAAGTCAGCTGATGCAGTTAGCTGATTACTTTTCACCTCACAACAGGCCAGGCTACTTTTTTATGTCTCTGAATCTCTCTACTCTTGTCCTTGCTTGGCTAAAATCTATTGTTGGTGTCAGAGTAAAACCTCAGAACAAAGAATGTTTTTCACTTTTATTGGAAGTTAATGGAGAAATTACTTTATTCCAAGTAAGTTTGGACCACTTCTGTTGGTCCATTCATTATGAAACTTTGACACATTATAAAGGGCAGCTGGTGATATTACATCACATCAAAAAATGAAAAACAACACAAATGGAGATATGAGGTTTTGTACCGACCGCGGCGCCATACTAGGGCCGTCATTTAATTTCTTGATGACTCAACAATACTTCATTGGTAGTTTGCATGATGACCTGCATGCAGTGAGAACCAATAGATGCAGTCATTTATATGCAATTTTTGATCCCAATACTGTAATAGAGATGGCACCTATTCCAGTACTGGGCCGATGTCTGCAGAAAATGCTGGATTGGATATGACAGGGGAAAAAAGAATAAACTCCATTCAATCCTGTAACAAATATATCCTGAAATAGATTTTCGTGCTGATTTATTTTTGTCTTCAAACATTTTCAGATCAAAACCTTTAAGGAAGTCATTCAGACAGAGCCACTGATATGCATTTTTTGTAGAGATGGCACCTATACCAGCATCATAGCGTTGATGGCGCCATTATTTCCCTGAGCCTTTTAAATCCTGCTCCTCTCACAGGTAGTGGGCGGGGCTACACAGTTTGCGTGATGAGCTGCAGTTTTAGTGAATCATTTTACACTGCGCCTGCACATCTGGCCCATAGTGCTTTAAAATATATTTTTTAATGAGTTAGTAGTGACAAGGGTTTATAGACAGGCTGCATGTGCTGAGTAGCTTTATTAAGGGCAATCCAAGACTTATAGTCATCACAGGCAGGCAGGTACACACAAAGCACATAACCAGTAAGCACAGCAAGGGTCAAACAGGGAAAACTACCAAGACAAGGAAACACTAATCAGAACTCAGTACACACAACAGAGACTTCGCAGGGCTCAAGGTCAAACAAAGGGGTGCATCTATTGGAGGAGTAATGTCCATAAACTAGCTGCAGGTGTGTGTAATGAAGGAGGAGTGGAGCAGAAGTTGGAATGAGCCATTCCAGACTGCGCACGTCCAAACAGAGCCTTCCAGAGGTGGAATTTTTTTATTTAAAAGTCTGAATACTAAATTCAAATGGGTGCATTACATTATAACTAATTGATAAATACTGCTCTTAAACAGAAAATGAAGCAGATTGCTTTCAGTAAGGTGTCTGCTGTGTTTACATGTTGGCGGTTGGTAAAGCAGATATTCCATTGTTTTCATTGGAGCTGCAGCAAAAAAATCTGCCACCGTCAGCGGCAACATTCCACCAGGAGTTTAATTTTCCCAACTTTTGCTGTAGAATCAACATAAAGCTCTCCTCTGATAACCATCCATCATTGTAAGTCTCCAAGAAACACCTGTAAGGCACCGAGCAGAAACTACACACCTCTGCCATCCTGTTGCTTTTATAGGCACAACACACACACACCCCCATACACAGACCCACAGACCCACACACACACACACACATATACATTTCCCCAGGCTTAACAGGTAACAGGTGCCAGACATGGAGCAGCACAAATAAAAACATATGTGCCCTGCTAGTGCACACACTCTCTCTCACACACTCACCCACACACACCCACAGCCAAATCCACATCCCACTTTGTTTACACATGTGTGTGTGTTTTAAATAGCCCTGTGGAGGCTTTCGTCCATTCTGGGATGATGACTGTGCCAAGTGTGACGGATCCCCTGAGATCACACAGCCGTCAGAGACCCCAAAGCCAGGACCCATGCTCCTGCTCGTGTGTGTGTGAAAGTGGGGCAGGTGCGGGCAGCTGTCTGAACACATGGCCCGCTATGGCAGTAAATGAGGAGCACGTGTTTAAGAAGGCGCTGAGTTCTTCTGGCCAGTCATCATCCACAGCTGACCTAAGCATGCTGCTATGACTAGGCGTGGACCAAACAATGTTTCAATGTTTCCAGTAAAGCAATGAGGAGACGTTGAGATGTGCTATTAGGATGCAGAGCGGAGTTTACATAACGGCGACAAAATACATTGATGTTCAATAAATAAAGTAATTCATTACTTATAATAATAGCAGAGTCTTTACGTATAATAATGAGTTTGTAACAGCAGGTTGCAGTTGCCAAGGAACATTATGGTTTTATTCAAAAATTATTCCATGAACAGTATAATGTTTTTTAATAACGCAGCATAAAATATGAAATACAACTGATGCATGCCATCATAGATGTGTATATCAAGAATTTTACAGTGGCGCTAAACGTGACTCGGCCGATCCAATTTTAGAACCAGGGTCAATTTTATGATTCTTTGTTTTGCTTCCTCAACAAGATGCTTTACATTTACAAACATAATCTGTCCTGTCACCGGTTAGATATGAGAACATGGTACATAATGAGTATAGCGCAAGGCAGAATGCTACAGTGTGCAGAGACAGCAGGGAGAGAAACAAAGAAAGGGAAGGAGGGATGTGTCAAAAGAAAAAACGAGAGAGAGTGAGAGAGAACGGGGGAGAGCTGAGAAGAGGCAGTGTGAGGGAATGAAAGAGCGAGCTGGAGAGAAGAGGAGAAGGGTGGTATTGAACACACTCATTCGTTTTCACATCTCATCCGATTGAGGTCAGCGCTCTGACGTCTGACTCGCTCTGCAAAGCCGTGCCAGACAGTCCAAACAGTCCGGTCGGCCGGCTCCACTAGCCTTCAGCCATCGGGCTGCAGGAACCAGCTTCACCAAAAAATCAAAAAAAAGGTTCTGTTGGGTTTTCTGAGTCATTTCAAACTCAAACAACAGGGCTCCCTCGAAAAACATACGGTGGAGAGGCGACGTGCAACAGTTGCAAGCCATCCGAGACCTTGAAGGGAGGAAATGAGTTCGGCAGCAAATGAGAAGCAGCTGGACTCTGACGGAAAACTGCTAAACGGCAGATGAAGAAAAGAGGATTGGCAATGTTAATACTAAACATTCACGAAAGCCAATGTATTTGGACAGTGACGTCACAATAATAGTTTCACAATGACAAACATAATGACAGCACTATAACAAGCAACACATGGTCGCTGTCATATAAAATCATTGAGATCTCATCACATTAATGTACATTAGACAACGATTTTCCTTCTCCTACAAAGATGCTACTTCAGAGATATGAGGC